ATTGCGAAAGTTAAAATATAAAGCGAGAAAAATTACACAGCATCTCGACTGTGCTAAATAGTGTATTAAACTCAAAATCTTACACAAAAAACAGAAATGATGGTTTTAACAGTTCAAATGTCGTTTCGCATCATAATAACCTACTTTGACTTTCTGGCGGTATCTCGTGGACGTCTTCAAGATAAACGATTAGCTCTGTTCTCTGTTTCCTGCTGTCGTCCACAACTGATGTGAGGCTTTGAGCCGCAAGGTCTTACAGAAAAAACCAAAAACCTTATCCGTAATATCCGTAATGCCCTGTACGTTGGTAATGGTTATTCGCCCTATCGACTAATATTATGTGCTGTTTGCAAATCGAGTTTCTGTCGTTTTTGCAGGACAACCAAAGCAAAACACTGGCGCTTTACGCCTGTCTAATGCATTATTCTATTCGTCTGGAGACATGTACGTGAAATACTCCAGTCAGTACCTCAATGTTACCTCGATCTGAATGAGAATATTCAGTATTTCGTTTGTTTGTGGTCATATTGAAAACAGCATAAAGTACGGTTTATTTATACACAATCTAATCAATCGGAGGACTGGTCAGTACCAATTGTTGGCACTGTGTATAAATAAATCGTGCTTTATGCTACTTTTAGTTCAATCTGAACCAGTGATAGGAATGTGCATGATCATTTAAAACCCGACTCGAATTCTTGAGTGTTCTGAACTGTCCGCCGTGGCTCCAATGTTTCCGTTAACCGCGCCTTAACCTTTTTCAACGTCATCTGACAAGTAATATTACAAGAATCAGATTCAATTTTCTAAACTACTACTTTTTTGGAAACTACTACCCTCAAGTCTTTCCAGTAGTAAGACACACTCTGGATTGGTTCCCCTACTGAAAAACACCGTTCTGACCATTCAGAACAGGACATTTCGTCTTCGTGACAGAAGGAAGATGCTGAAATATTAAAGAATGACATTTGAGCATTGCTACTGTTAACGGTTTGCGAGGCGCGTCAAAAAAAATCACTGAGCCCAATCCGTACGGTTCTATCACTGCTATCATTGTTCGATGAACATACTAAATCTCTCCGTTCATCTGTGGAAAGAGGCAGACGTCATCACTGTAATGACCGATTTTGGAAATAAAAAATGACGGAAATCTTTTAACACCTCCATGTACCATCGGGTTTAAATAGCAGTAAATGGCATGAATTAGAACTCCCTCCAGGTGTTTATCACGGGTTACCAATTGATTAATTTACGCTTTCGGTCAAGAATCAGCAGTCGCACTAATGAACTACAAAAACATCGACATATAGACATGTATTCCCCCACAAAAATGATTGAGTACTACGTAGTGAAAGCAAAGAAAGTGTGAAAACGAAAACCGCCGCGTGAAGAGCAACATGGACTTCGTCTCGATAAGAGCAGAATGGAATACACTGTTGGCTGCTTCACAGACAAATTACGAAAAACAACTATGATCGATGAATGTGAATTGCCACCTTCTGCCAGCAATCTTAGCATTTAAGTATGTTGGTTTAAGCATAAACGATAACAAAAAATCAACAAAGAATTGCGACTGCAACAAATAGATTGCAAAATGTTTGGAAATAATGGATGGCTGTGCGTAGCGTGCCCGGTTGCAAGGAACTGCCAATATGGTTAAACTGGAAGGGCAATAGAACAGTAGCAGGAAGAGTACTATTGTACAAGTGCTGAATGACTGATCGTGAAGAGAAGCGAGTAAAAGGACTTCATGTAAATACAACTATTCAGATATACGAGTGATATCACTGAAAATAATCTTATCAGAAACATCTATAGACAGGAGGTGCTACGGGCTGCCCAAATAACAGCGAAACTAACGCAATGCAGACCACCGATATGACATACAAAGGAAAGAAAAAGTTAGTTACCGTTGTCAGAATGTCAGTCTTTCTTCACTTTCATGACTGAGCTATTTTGGCAAGCTTCTTTTCATGAAGTTGATGGTGCGGTGTTGATCTCCGTTTCTATGCCATCAGCCAGGAGTGCCTTCTTTTTTAAGGCAGAGTCCATGGCCATGTATTAAGCGTAGCGTGTAGACTCCTGTTTCTTTCCCACAAAATGATACTCATTTAATAAAATCAGAAGGAAAACGAGCGAATGACCCGACCAGAGACCGAATTAAGGACTTATCCATTCTGATTCGATGCTATACCGACTGAGCAACCCCGGTCTGCAGCAATGTGTGGCAAATTCCATGCTGAAGGGAATTCGTGAATAAGATTAAGATTGCTCTACAAAGGAATCGAACTCGCTACCTTGAGAGTTCGAAGCAGACTTCTTAGACAATCGTTTAAACACGCCAAGACCATATAAAGCGAAGGTCAGAAGACGACGCAAACGATGTTATTAGGACTGTTTGTTAACCCGTTTGCTAATTAAGAACTTGTATTAATTAACACCATTCCTACCTTTTCATACAATTACAACTTGTATTAATTAACACCATTCCTACCTTTACATACGTTTTCGAGCTTTCAATTAAGCGAATATTTTTGCCACATTAACCTGCGAATGAGCTTCGCAGGTAAATATATAATTAAACTCTTTTTATCAGTATGCTTGTATTAGCAGCAAAATCTTAGTGGTTCAACATCAGCTTACTCACTACCTTTAGGGACGCTTCCAAAATATAAAAGTATGAGTACCTCTGAGTCACCACCAAAAGGAGATACTTTACTTGTACGAAAAATAAAAAACGTCAAACAGATTCTGATGACGAACCAAAAAGAATTCGAAAATCGCCCCAAAATTCGCACTGTCTCATATCTCTGTGAACAAAAGTACAGCATACGGTGGGAAATACTTACTCTGTGGATCATAGGCGGAATTAGTTTCGAAGTCTATGTTCTTCTGTGCATCAAGTTTAGCCATCTTCTCGGCGGTTAACGCTGACTGCAACTCGTCCAGCTTTAACTGAAGCTGCCGATTCTAAAAGAATAGTGAGCTGATGGCGACTGCGGCCTAAGACCGACCGACTCCTCACAATCTTACTTTTGTGACCAGCTTTCTGATCCTTTCATCCACGGTACCTTCCGGAAAAGCTTTCTCGAGAAGGTGAATCGTCTGGCGACTGAGCAGCAAACCCTGAGTAAGTAACGAGTTTTCTGACAAATCAGCGTCCACCTCAGGCTTGTAACCATCACTGCCCACACCTACTTCATCAGTCTCCTTCTCGGCATAAACAAGACCCGCTTCCTTAAAAACGTAAACCCAAGCACATGACACTGATTGTATTTTTCATAATGTAAAACAGACAACGTCATAAAGCGACAATCAGACAAAGTGATCAGCAAGAAATTTCCATAAATAAATTCACTGTCGAAAAGGAAAATACTTCACTACAGCGTTTCTACTTTTAAAACATGGAATAGTACACAAAAAGTACAGCAAGCAAATAATGATAATGAAGAAGAAAAAATCTGAAAAACCGAGAAAATAAAGAATTCAAAAAACTGTACAGGATTCGTTCGCGTGAGAGATTAAAATGAAGCTTCTCATCTTCACAAAACACACGTAGAGGCAAACCCTGGTTTAGTCAGCTGCAGAATACTGCCGCCCAATAGTGTGGCATAACAGTTATGGCACCTATCCTGCACACAATGAAACTGATGCTGACTTCCGTAATTTCAGTCGTAACTCAAAACAGCGTCGTACGTAGCAGCTTAGGCCAGCATCATAATAAATGATATAAGTAGAAACATTAACGCAGTTCAGGAATACGAAGAGATTCTGGACTGTGCAAAACTACTTATCCTCCTGAGTATCTGACTGATAGAGAAAAGCACCATATGCGTGGCTTATCACACGTAGCTGTGGAAAGGAAAAAAGTTCATGTTGGAGTCAATCGTGGGACAATTCCAACATTTCAATCAAATGTGTTTGATTACGATGAAAGTCCGGCTAAGATCGAGTAAAGCAAGGCCTAGGCTTCAGCTTGCGACCTTCAACCGTATCTGCACGGAACAAGGGACGTTCGGATACGTGTTCCATCTGCGGAAAAAGATAATAATTACTCAGCTGCAAATGTAGAGAGGTGCATCGATGGAATAAACCACCGATTATCGCAGCACCTCGCCTGTCCCGGAGAACTGAAGCGATCAACCAGCCTACGCCGAACGCAATGAAATGGTTACCAGCGCAGCATACTGTACTCGAAGAAATTTCGACTGTAGCCACGTCATACGAAGAATGAACCGCAATATTCTTCACAGCACTAAGAATCATATGAGTCACTGATATGCAGCTGATTACCTTTAACTCAAAGTTTAGCAAATAAATGATATAAAGAAATATAAATATAAATGATACGATTGTTTAATCCGCAGAAAGACACATCCCTAGAGCAAATGCATAAATGTCTACTGTTTTGTTAGCTGCA